GCTGCTTTTGCTTCTTGGTATGGGCTGCCCTGCTTTGGGCTACTAGTCTTCTAAGAGTGCCTGGGCCAGGGATGGGGCTGAGGTAGTTTATACCCAGCAGGTAGCAAGACCTGAGGGTGAGGCTCTTCGACCTTAGTCCTGCTGTTTCTTGGGCCCTTTGCAGGAAGTAACCAGATTCTTCCTTGGACTGAAAAAAAAAAAAAAAAAAAAAAAAAAAAAAGGACCTGAGATTCATTGGAACCTCTTTCCCCACAGGTAAAGAGTTTGACCTCAACAGGCAGTGTGGGGTCATAAATCCAGAGACCAAGAAGATCTGTACGCGACTGTTGACCTGCAAGGTAACCCCATCCCTCTGCATGGTGATGGGGGAGTCAGCATGACACGGAATCTTGGAAAGGAGCATTCAGAGGTTATTAGAAACTCAGTTCAAGGAATGGGGCTAGGCATACACCAGGGAAGGGGATAAGAGGCTACCCATGGTGTACACAAGGTAGGCTCAGTGGATAGGGAGTACCTTCAGATCTCCTTACCCATCTGAGAGTTTCAGCCCCATGAGAGAGTAAAATGGACACACAAACACCCCCACCCATAACACGCACACTCTCTCTGGGTCAAAGGCCGATACCCCTCAGTCCTGCTAAGATTACACCTCCCTACCGCTCACTCTGCCCTGTTCTAGATCCACTCAGTGCACCAACGCAGGGAGGTCCCAGGCAGGACCAAGGACTTTGATGTGCTCGTGGCTGAACTGAAAGCCAACTCTCGCAAAGGAGAATCTCCCAAGGAAAAGAGCCCGGGACGAAAAGAACTGACTCTCGAGCGCCCCTCCCAGGAGCTTCCCTCCGCCATCCAGGGTGCAGCGGTAGCAGCTGCCCCCATCAGCACCTCTGCTCGTTCTAAGCAGGCCTATCCATACTGTGCACTTCCCAGGTATGTACAGAGTCTTTACCATACCTAGCTGGGGGGTACTCAGTCCCTAAGGTGTCAGGGAGCCCTGGAGATAGACTCAGGGTGTTCTGGAGGTGTGCTCACTTCCCTTAAGCATGGGAAGGTAACTAGAACCCTACCAGTGGTGTGAGGCAGGTGACTGCCCTTCTGCCCAAGCACACTGCAACACTCCAGCCTCTGTGAGGTATGTCAGATACAATACCCAGGATATGAACTCTTTTTTTTCAGTTACTCCCATGGGTTAGCACTTGTCATCAGGGAGCTGAATGGGCCAGGGCCCTGGGTAAAGCAGTGCTACTGGGTAGTCATCCACTGGCCCCCTTGTGTGCAGAGCCTGCCTTATGGAAGGAGCCTCAAACGCACCTCCATCTGCAGTAGGAGGGGTAGACAAGGAGCATAGGCCGGGTTCCTAGACAGGCTCACGGGAGAGCGTGATAAAGAGGAGGGTTGAGAGAGTTGACTAGGCTGAGCGGTGCTGGGTGTAGTTACACCGGGAAGATTTTGCTGAGGAAGCAGGTCTGAAGCAGATTTTCTCCCTGAAGAGGCAAGGCCAAGGAAGAGGCTGGGGAGAGAATCCCTTGGAAGCTGTGGCCCTTGGTTCTGTCTCTCACTTAGTGATCTAATTTGTACTTTCCCGTCCCTTCCCAAGCCCTTCCTCTTCCCCTGAGTGCCCTGACTGTTTGAGCGTGGACACCCCCCACTCTGATCCTGCATCATTCACATCATCCTTGTGTCCCTTTGGCCCTTCCAGGTCCCAGGCCTCCTCTGAGAGTGAGGTGGATGATGAAGGTCCCTGTGGTGGTGATGGGGATCCAGGCCTGTTCCCTTTCCCTCTGCCCCGGGGTGGGGCCCAGGCCTCCAGCGAGGAGAGTGAGGAGGAGGGGACATCTGATGACCTCCACCTTTCCCCTGACTGCCATTATGCAACCCGGCCTCCTAGGCCACAGGCGGTAAGGACACAGGACAGGGAGCTGGGATGGAGGGTGGCTAAGTCTCGTAGGCAGATGCCTTCTTGTATCTCAGGTTCTACCAACCATGTTCTTTCCTCTGCCTCCAGTTTTGCACCTTTGGGAGCCGGCTGGTGAGCCCAGGATGCTACGTGTTTAGCCGCCGGCTAGACCGGTTCTGCTCGGCACTCAGCTCCATGCTGGAACGGCATCTCAGCTCACACATGTGGAAGTGAGTTTCATGGACTCAGAACTTAATTTCTCAGGCTTGAGTATCAATCCTTGGGCTTCAGAAGCCCCAGTCTGCTGTGCATTGGCTGATTGCTAAGAACCCAAATTGGGTGTGGCATGACTGGGTGAGACTTGGTAGCCTGGAGGAGGGCGTGGGTGGGTGGTCGGGGTCAATCTAGAGTCTTACCCATCACTTCCAGTACCTTTTAGGTAATGTAGCATGGGGAAATGCTCAAACTAAGACCAAAAATGAGATTGTTAATGGGTCAGCCTGTTAGTTCATATGCCTTGTACTGATCGGTCATTCCTTCTCTTGTGCCTTCCTGGGCTCTTAGTTCCAGTGTTTCCCAGCAGGGGGCAGCAGCCTTGGGGCTTTGCTGGCCATCTGAAGGTGCAGAGACTGGTGTACTTTAGGGAGGCCCTGGAGTTTGCTCAGTATCACAGCGAAGCTCTCTCTTTGCTGCAGGAAGATCCCACCAGCGGCTGAACCTCCATCCCATCTTGTCAGTCCCTCCTTAGCTGATCCCCTGAGTCCATCCTCTATGGGCAGCTGCCCCCGACTCCCAGGCCCATCCCCCCGACCTGCCTGCCCAGCCTCCATACCCCCCATGAAGGACAGCCTTGTCCCTAACTACCCTGCAGGCTCCCCCAGTGTAGCAGCTGCCTGTAGCCAGGCAGAGTGCATGGGCGGTAGCCAGGCTATTACCTCACCACTGCCTGCCAATACTCCGTCTCCGTCCTTCAGCAAGCTGCCACCTTCCAAGGCCAGCAAGTCGTCCAAAAGCAAGGAAGGGGTGGAGATGGAGGCCCCTTCTCGAAAGCGGAAGTTATCCCCTGGCCCTACCACTTTCAAACGGACCTGCATCCTGGAGCCTGCTGGAAAAGGCAAACCCTCTGGCTGTCGGGGTCTCTCAGCCAAGACTAAAACAACCCTGAGCATGGGGCTTAATGGAACAGTGGGGCCGAGAGTGAAAAGAGCAGGTCCCCTGGACTGTCGGGGTTCCCCTCACTCATCCCCCATACCAGTCAAGGCTTCTCAAATAGAGAACCGGGGAGCAGCTGGACACCCAGCTAAGGTCCTGCCAACCAACTGCCTCTCCGAGGAGGAGGTAGCCAAGAAGCGGAAAAACCTGGCCACTTACTGCCGGCCAGTCAAGGCCAAGCACTGTCAGGCGGGTGTCCCTCCTGATGGGACCTGCTCTGTTCGTCGTAGGAAACCAGGTCCAGCCCTGCCCTTTGAGGAGAAGTGCTCTACACTGAAGGTACCAGTCCAGCTTCCTGAAGGACATGGGCAGAGAGGGGTCAGGAGGGCTGAGGCTGGGGAACACAGTAGGTACGTGACGTGGAGAGGGTGCCAAGGAAACCACTCCAGAAAAGGGAATAAAGGGGAAACTGAGAGAACTCCTGGGCCATCTACACTAGGGAAAGGTTAGTTAGCTGTTTCCAAGGTGACCCCAGCTTTTGCCTGAGGGACCTTTCCTCTGCCCAGCCTCCTCCTTTGAGCTTAGGACGTGCTGTCCCATCCCACCTTCACTTGTGCTTTAGTCTAAGGACCATTTCTTCTTGAGCTGTCTGTGGTCCTCCCTCCAGGACTTGGAGCGACTTTTTCTAAAGGGGAAGGGAGTCTGGGTCCCAGCATCCTGAGTAGCTGATGAGTGGGCTGCTGTAGTTTGGTTCTTCCTCTGGCATTAGGACATCAGAAAGCAAGTACTCAATTTAAGGTCCACAGAGTCACTTCGGATTATAGTAGATTCTCCAGGTTTCTAGTAAAGCTTGTAGTTAGGTTTCTTTACCTTTTCTGTTGGAGGGTGCTTTCATCTATCCCTGTGATCTCTGTAAGGAGGGATTCCTGGGAGGTGAGACGGGATCATAGGCTCCTGATTGAGGCATGGATTAGGCGCATGCTCACTGTCCTGGCACCTATGAGGGAAATCTGATAGTTGGTAAAGGACCTGCCTCTGTGTGTACAGGTGTGTGTATGTGTGTTCTCCAGGTTCACTACCCAGTCTGCCTCTGTTAGGCTGGCATTCTTTTTCTCCTTGCTTAGTCGTGTTTATCAGGCCAGCAGAAGGAATTCAAGGGTTAGCCCAGATGTTCACAGGGAAGGATACTAGGTAGGCCCCTACCCTGACCCTGTCTCTTACCTCTTGTCTTCCTGCAGTCAAAAGCCCATTAACGAGAAAGTGCCTGCCCACTGCAACGGAGCCGCCAGCACCTCCTCCCCTCCAGATCCGGGCCCCAGGCTGCTGCCGCTTTTTATAACTTTATATTATTTTTTTTAAGAAAAAAAAAAACTCTTTAAAATACCTCAAGACTGTCTCCCTGTTCTGTTGCTGCTAAGAAAATATAAAAACAGAAACATAGAAAAGGATGAAAAATGATGTAGCTGAATGAGTGTCTTTACTCTCCCCAGCCCTGTCCCGAGAGGCTGAGACGATGAGCAGTACACACTCATGCGCACACACACAGGGCACACAACCTGGAGCTGGTGTCAGTAGGCATCTCCTTCCAGAGAGGATGAGAAGGCGTATGGCCCTGAATGAGCAAGGAGTCCCAGAGAGACAACTCCGCTCCTCTGGAAAAGGAAACAAGGAAGGGAGGGAAGTTACACTTTTGACTCTGCCCTGGAGTTTTTGTCCTGAGGATTTGTGGGAGTTAGTTTACGGCCCTTTTCTGATTCTCTTGCAATTCGGTTTCCATTCCTCTACAGATTATTTCCTTGGTCTCTTTGGCTGTTCTTGCCCTTCCCACTTCTAAACTCAGCCTTAGTTTGTCGACCATGTTGAGGTTGAACTTGGTGTTAACTGCTCTAGAAGTCCTGGCCCGCTTTTTTTTTTTTAATTTCTTTAATTATGTGTGTGTGGGTATGTGCATGTGATGTCTGTAGAGGCCAGAAGTGTGGGATCCCCCAAGCTAGTTCCAGTAAGCTGTGAACCCCGGTACGTGTTCTTAACCACTGAGCCATCTCCCCAGCCCCTGCCTCCTGAAGAACGGTATAAAGCTTCTCTCGGATAGGCTGGCCATACCTTTTTGGAGGTAATAGTGTTACAGAACTTGAGGTTGTGAGGGAGCCCTGGTTCCTCTGGATCACCTCGCTCCTCAAGGCTGCATAGCTGGTGTGGAGGTGACAAAAACTGGAAGTGCCTCGGGTCTTTGGAATATCTTACGGGGGACAACTACTCCTGTAAATAGGGATGCGACTACGTATTTCGGTTCTCATTTTTTAATTCACCAGGTTTGGGTCACTATGTTTTGGCTTTTTCTTTTCGTTTATGTTTGGGCAAGGAGGAATCTCGTACCTGAACAAGCTAGAAAAGTCTACAGAGTGAGCAGCCAGGGGAATCCAGTCCTTCTGGAAAGCTGCTCAAAACACTGGGTCACGCTCTTGGGTCAGCAAACCAAGTGTGTGATTTGGAGTTTCGCTGATATCAGTTACTACGGATGTAATTTTCACAGGCGGCTTGAGATACCCTTGTAGATACAAAAGTAGAAATGAAGGTGGCTTGGGAGCTCGGTTAGGTCAATGGAGGTTTCCGGGAGCCGCCCTTTGGGGCCCGAAGCGCTTCCCCCCCAGTCTGCAGAGGGCGCTGTGGGCGCCTCCACCACACGGCCCCGAAGCCTCCCCGGGGAGGAGCCTCTCCTGTAGCCGCCGCCGCCTCCGCGATCGCAAACCCGGAAGAAGCCTCTGTTTGCTGGACTGTACCGGCCGGCTTGGCATTGCCATGCAGCTCGAGGAGGTAGGTCTGGTTCCCGCTCCAGCGAGGGAGCCGAGACTAACCCGCTGGCTGCGGAGAGGCAGTGGGATCTTGGCGCACCTGATAGCTTTGGGCTTCACCATCTTTCTGACTGTGCTGTCCCGGCCAGGAACCAGTGAGTGTGCGGGGAGGGGCGGGGCTATGAGAGGGGGCGGAGCCTAGGTGCTGGAGGGGCTGCTTTGGGCACGCTCGGATACGAGAAACCTAGACCCTCAGCTGAGGAGGGGCGGGTCGAGGAGTGGTTGTAAAGGCGTAGTGGGTGGGTCCCCGGAAATCCTGGGAGGGTGGGACTTGAAAAGACAGAACTGACACTTCCTTAGAATGAGGTCCCTTATGGAAAGGTGCGGGGAGGGTCTCGGGCAGACTAAGGTCTACTCTAGGACTGGGCTAGCAGCAAATGCAGAACTCAGGCCAAGGTGGTATAAGGGCTCCTTGGCCGCTACCCCTTTGCGGTGAGTTCCTGATTCTTGCTTAGGCTTGAGACGGTATGCTGACCTTTCCCTTGTGGCCAGATTTTTGCAATATCAGTGATGTCCAGCTGTCAGCCTGTTCTCTTTGATTCTTAGGTCTTTTCTCCTGGCACCCTGTGTTCATGGCCTTGGCGGTGAGTTTGAATATACTTACCTTAACCCTTGGGGAAGCATTCAGTTTTTCAAGATCAGAGAGATAGGGTCAAAGAAGGCTTGATCTTTCCCTGAAACCTATAGGATTGGGGGAAATGTAGTAAATTATCAGGGGCTTGAGGTTGGGGAGGGGCTATCTCTCCTCCAGGGTCTGAAAGGAAGAAGTGAGAGGAATGTTATCAAGGTCTTGCTGTTCTGTGGTCCAGAAAGGGCGTGTGTGAGGCAGGAAGTCCCTTTAAGCTCCCATGTTTTTCTGGATGTGGGATAAGACCTCCTTTTTCTCGGGCCCCATGCAGACCAGAGGTTCACTGACCTTCTCCTGTGTTTACAGTTCTGTCTCTGCATGGCTGAAGCTATCCTACTCCTCTCACCTGAGCACTCCCTGTTCTTCTTCTGCTCTCGAAAGACCCGGATTCGACTGCACTGGGCAGGGCAGACCATAGCCATCCTCTGCGCTATCCTGGGTTTGGGCTTTATCATCTCCAGCAAGATCCGCAGCGAGCTGTCCCATATGGCGTCCTGGCACAGCTGGATAGGAGTTCTGACACTCATGGCCACTGCGGGACAGGCACTGTGTGGGCTCGGCCTCCTCTGTCCGCGGGCAGCCCGGGTCTCAAGGGTGGCTCGTCTCAAGCTCTACCATCTGACATGCGGCCTGGTCGTCTACCTGATGGCTACAGTAACAGTGCTCTTGGGCATGTACTCAGTGTGGTTCCAGGCCCAGATTAAAGGTGCAGCCTGGTACCTGTGCCTGGCACTACCGGTGTACCCGGCCCTGGTGATCATGCACCAGATCTCCAGCTCCTACTTGCCAAGGAAGAAAGTGGAAATGTGAATGTCTCCAAACTCTGAGCCTAGGCGGGATTCTTGGACTTCAGCAGTTCCTTGGCACACCTCAGAGGCAGACGATGTTTTTGCACTGCGTGGTTGAACCACGGGGTACAGAAACCCTAGCTGTTACTGCTGAGGGATGATCTGGTGGGCTTCAATGGGGGAAATGTACTACTGGGTGCAAGTGGAAGGTTCTGGAGAACCTGAAGCCTCACCTTGATGGGATACAAAAGTATTAGGTGGTGGTGCTGATGGTGACGGTGGTGACTTTTTGTTTGTGGAGTTCCTGTTGGTTATGAATGACAGCCACAGGCAGATATCGGGGTCCCTTTGGAAAGGCAGTACTGTGGTAGCCTGTGGTCTCTTTGGCTGTGCTGTACAGTCGCCCTTAGACAAGCTCCGTATCTCAGGACCTCAGTTTCCGCACCCTTTAACATTTGGTGTCTGGCAGATTGATGTTACTGAATACCTCCTTAGCTCTGGACCATGTGAACAGCTCAGGATGTAATTCTCTCCTCCATGCTTCCTTCACTCCCCTGGAAGGACAACTCTATACCTGCATCCTTCAGAAATCTGTGCTGGCTCCACTCCTGAACCAAGGAACAGGGGCCATGAATCATGGAAAGAAGGGACTGAGGTGAGGGTCCCCTAGACAATAAGATAGTAAAGGCACTAAAGTCACTTTAAAGTTCTTTGGAGGAACAGAAGGGCATTGTCCTTAACCAAGCCCTGGACTACTGGCCTCCTTAGCTCAGCTAAGAACTTCCTTCAGGCTACCTCTGGGTCTAGATTGTAGAGTCTGGGAATTCTCTCGACATTCATTCTCAGGGCATCTGACACTGCCCGTAGGACTTAGAGTATATACTTAGCACATTGCTCCAGGGAACTATTCTTAGGCTTTCGGAACAAAATAAAAACCAGGGAGTGGGACCCCCTTGATTCAAGGAACTCAGTGTCTCTCTGGTTGTCCTTCCCTTCTTGGTTTTTTTTTTTTTTTTTCCGAGACAGGGTTTCTCCGTAGCTTTTGATTCCTGTCCTGGACCTAGCTCTTGTAGACCAGGCTGGCCTCGAACTCACAGAGATCCGCCTACCTCTGCCTCCTGAGTGCTGGGATTAAAGGCGTGTGCCACCACCGCCCGGCTTTGTCCTTCCCTTCTTGTCATTTAAGTTTTCCTTAGCTGTTCCCTGCCAGCCCCTTGGCTTAAGAGTGGGATGATTTTGGTACCAACTGGGCTCTCTTCCCTGCCAAGATACCTCCTTGGTCCAGCTGAGTTCCTCAGAGCATCCTTAGCGGTGAGGACTGGATGTCAAACCACTTAGCTGTGGTGTGGGTCAGTCCAGGAGACAAACCCTTTATAGATCCTAATAAGGAGTAGAGATTGCTGAGCCAGGAAATGTACACGCCCAGCTTTCTCCCTGGAAGGCAGAGCCCATCAGAAACTATGGGAGGCCTGGAGTATAGGGGCTTGAGCACAGACAAAGGAGAAGTATCTGTTCTATGTCTCGGATCCTCTGAAGATTTAAGGCCTCCTCTCCAGGTAGCTCAGAAATTAGGCGGGTGGGATTCAATAGTATGGGGACGGGGACCCTAGGGCTGAAGTGGCTTCTTAGTGGCCCTCACTGTGCTTTTCCTCAGGGAGATAGCATCTCTCATAAGTTGTCTAAATACAGCTTACTGAAACAGAGGCTCCTGCAGCACAGAGGGAAACCATTCTTGTCTTTTTCAACACCCGCTCTCCCTCTCAAGCTGTCCAGTGTGCTGTGAGCTTGGGAAGGAATGGTTACTGGGCCCTGAAAGAGGGTCTCACTAGGGTCACTTTGATGTAGGGCTCCCCAGGGTGGGCCAGGTAAGGTTCAGCAGCTCGTTCTCAGAGAGAGAGGCGATGCCGGAAAGCCTGAGCCTGCCTGAGGTGTTGCCTCTTCCCAGGTGGTGCGGGGGCTGGTGGGCGGGCGGGCGGGCAGGCGTGCTGACAGCCGGCAGTTTGCGTGGGCTGTGCCATCTGATGTCTATTCCCAGCCCCGGGAGGAAGGGGAGTCATTTATATTCTGCAGGAAGAAGGGACCCAGCTGTCGCTTCCTCTGACCAGTGGGCCTGGAGGGCATCGGTGCAGAGCAGAGAGGAGGGCACAGGTAGCAGTGGCCTCCTGCTTAGGGATCTGACCGCAGTATAGGGAGGTCACCAGGATGAGCCCTTCTTGCTGGTAGGCCAGATTTGGGTGGGGGGCGGGAATTACCTCCCCTCCTGTCTTTCCACTTCTCCATCACCACCTGCCCTCACATCCTGGGGCAGCAGCTGGATAACCATTAGACCTCAGTGCCAGGGTACTCCTCCTCCAGCTGGGATCTGTGGCTGCCGGCTGCATATGCCTGCTGGCTGTGTGCTCCCTCTTCCCACTGTCTGCCCCTTCCTCTTTGTATCTTCCAGTGTCTGGATACTACCTGGGCTTCTTGGCAGACAGGCAGAGACCATGGGGGGGGGGGGGGGACACGTGACTGTCCTTTTCCAGTGTTCCTTGACTAGGGGAAGCTGCTAGCAGTCGGCCTGTTTTGCTTTTGAAAGTGGGGTGGGGGATGATACTCAGGATGCTCAAGATTTAAAAGTCTCCCATCATTTGTACAAATTTCCATATCGTGCTAAGTCCTGATTCCATATTTGATTGTGTTCCAAGCTTGATTATACTCAGATTCAACCTTGAGGGCATTAGAAAGATAGTTTTGTATTAAATCCAAATGGTAACAGGCATACTGTTCAGGTTTGGAGCCTTCTCAGAAGCCCCTTTGTTCCTGTATCCTCCCTTGGAGTCCCATTGGGGCTGGGGGTGGCCGTGAATGAATGACAGGGGTTCAGCCTCAGAACTGCTTCCTTCTCTGACTGGCATCCCCATGCAAGCCAGGCTGCTATCACTGGCCAGCCTGTGCTTGCTCTCCCCCTCCCAAGGCAGGCCACCTTTCCTCCGTGACATTGGCCTGCCCTGTCTCATTGTCCCCACCTTTCCACCCCCATGCAAGGCTGCCGTGGGTCTTGTTTTTCAAACCTCACTGTGGGAGATCCAGGCATTCCCCCCTGAGCCAGCTGGCTGCTGTGCCAAGGCCTGTTCAGAGTTAATAATAATCATTAGTTGAATGGTGCTGGGGCCTTTCAGCTCCAGATCTCTAAGCACTTGCAGGCTGAGTCAGCCAGCCTTCACCTTCCCCCCCTCTCCCTGGGTTTTGGAGTGTAACAGCATGGGAAGGCGCTGTGGGAGAGGGAATCGGGATTCTTGCTGCCTGACCATGCCTGAGGATTTTCTCTGAGAGTAAGCAGTGAGCCAGGGCACACAGAGAAGGCAGAATGCTCATCTGAGACCACCATGGCTGTGGAAGCTGATGACCCCAGACCTCTAGAACTTTGGTGTACTTACCTTGACCTCTGTGGGACACTCCACCTGAATGCCCTTAAGCAAGTTCAGAGCACAAGGAAGTCTCTGGGTTAGTACCCACCCCCAAGACCCTTGTCTGTGACTGGCACAGAGAACCTGTGTGTCGTGAACGGAAAAGTGTGCCAGCTGGATACTGGCAAGGTTGCTGTATGAGTGTCTCAGCTCCTGACACTGGGTGGCATGGGCAGACTGCTTCTCATCCTACCTCCCAGGGATGTTGTGAGGGCTAGACGAGGGAACACGGTTCAAAGCATTAAACAAATGGAAAGCAGATGGGTTGTTCTGTCCTTTTCTCTTCCTGAGCCTGACTTTATGCCTCCTAAGGAGGCAATAAACTGTGGGAGATGATGCTCAGGGGGACCCAAACCTTGGGGGCTCTGGGGGCCATGTAACAGTCACGTTTCTTACTTTTGGATGCAAGGTCACCCTATCTCTGCCTGCGAGAGGGGCCACCAAGATCATGGTTATTGAGGTTTGTCTTATATAGTGCTTGCCCAGTGTGGTCGAGCCACAGGACTGATGGCAGATCTGCGTCCCTACAGCTTGCTCCAGGTCTTATCAGAAGAGTAAGGTCTCAGCCCAGAGCTTTGGCTGTAACTGATCTAAATCACTCCTTTCTAACTCTGCCCTTCTAAAGGAAGAGTAGAACACAGAGAAAGGACCAATAGTAGCCGGGCGGTGGTGGCGCACGCCTTTAATCCCAGCACTCGGGAGGCAGAGGCAGGTGGATCTCTGTGAGTTCGAGGCCAGCCTGGTCTACAGAGCTAGTTCCAGGACAGGAACCAAAAGCTATGGAGAAACCCTGTCTTGAAAAATCCAAAAACAAAACAAAACAAAACAAAAAAAAAAAGGACCAATAGTAGTGATCACTACAGCCAGACATGGTGGTGCACACCTTTAATCCCAGCACTCAGGAGGCAGAGGCAGACAGATCTCTATGAGTACAAGACCAGCCTGGACTACAGAAGTGAGTTCCAGGGCTGGAGAGATGGCTCAGAGGTTAAGAGCATTGCCTGCTCTTCCAAAGGTCCTGAGTTCAATTCCCAGCAACCACATGGTGGCTCACAACCATCTATAATGAGATCTGGTGCCCTCTTCTGGCATGCAGGCAGGCATGGAAGGAATGTTGTATACATAATAAATAAATAAATATTTTTAAAAAAAAAAAGAAGTGAGTTCCAGGACAGCCAGGGAAACAAAGAAACCCTGTCTCAAAAAACAAACAAACAAAAAATAGTGGTGACCACTGCACAACACCCTGACCGTTTCCCCTCTGTAGCCTCAGGCTGATGTGGGATTCCCCTCTGTATGCTGTTAGTTGACACAGTTTCTGTGTGGTTATTTCGGGAGTCTGGGCAGTGGGGAAATGAACAAGCAGTGTTCTACTGCATCAGGCCTATGCTCTAAGGACTGGGGATGTGGTACTGTGAGGCACATGTCTTCTGGCTTTCAGGGGTCCACAGCTTAAGGTTCCCTTTCCTGTCTTAGGCTCTTGGAGTAAGACCATAGTCTCCTCTCATGAAAATGCTTTGCTGGAATTATCACACAAGCACTCATACACACGTGCGCATATGCACACACACATACACACACAATGCACACACGAAGCAGTTCTATGTAAACTTTCAGTTAAGAGGAAGGACACTTTCCATTCCATTTGTCTGAGGGCAGGCAGCATTTGGCCCAGAGTAGATGAAGACAAGCAGAACCAACAGTAGCACGCAGGCTTGAACATTTGTCTTTTTTATCTTAATTGTTTTTCTACCCTAGGATCCAGGAATGAAACACTAGTCTAGCCTTAGCCATTCTTGCCAAAATGGCACAAAGAAGACAGTAGCTCAAGGTGGAAGGTCAGGGCCCCCCAGAACTGCCCTGGAGGCAGGGTTGGAAGTGGATGGGCAGCACTGGTCAGGGCTCACGCAAACAAATGAACTCTGGTAGGACCACCTTATCCCAGAAAGCTTGGCTGGTCACAAATGTGTTCAGAGAACAGCCGTCCATTATTAATCAGCCAGCAACCGTCAGAATTTCCCAACGAGGCTTTTGATCCATCTTGAAGCAGATGAAGGACCATTTCAGGCTAGTCTATGGTATCTGGGGGTTGGTTTTGTGTCGCTGGTGACAGGAGTGGCTGCTGGCACCCTGTCTTTGGAATAGGTTCTCAGTTATCTAGCAGTGTGGCCTTGGAGTGATACTGAGACCCACACCTAAAGTAAACCAAACCAAGGGTGGGAGCCGTGGGCGTGAGGGGAAAGAAGTACACAGCACTGCCTGGCTCCAGTCCCCTCCAGCCCCTGTGCACATCACCTTATCTATGCCAGTGCCCACGTCGCCTAGCAGGACTGTGTCTCCTGGTTCACTGAAGGATGGTGCTCAGGCCATAGTTCTGTGTCCTCTGTGCTCCAGGGACAGTAATCAGGCTGGTACACACCGGAAGGAAAGGCCTCAGGACACTTCTAAGGATCTTGGCCATTTGATATCTTCTGCCCATCAGTGTCTGAGCATGATGAAAGGGCCTGACTGGCAGTTTTAGCCTTCTCTTTCAAAGCCCTGGGAGAGGAAGCAGCTAGCACAGACTCCCTGGGGCCTGACCAAAAAAGCCAACTGTCCTTACTGCAGGGCCTGAGCTTTTTTTGCCATGTGGGTGGGGAAAGTACAGCATCACCATTGGTTGCCTAGGAGACAAGATAAGTGGTACAAATACAGAAAGGGGAGGAGTTGAGAGACCAGGTGGAAGAAAGACTAGGCTAGCCCATGCACTGGACTCTCATTCCGGCACATCGGCCTTCTCTGTTCCCCCTGAAGTGCTGTCTGAGGGGATGAGGCAAAGTCTTGCAAGACCCGACAGACAAACTGCATAGCCTAACCACGATCCAGGGAGCTTGTAGCTTAGCATTGGGATGAGCAGAAAAAGCAGAAGAGATACAGGTTTGGAAGGCGAGAGAGCTCAGAAAACCTAAGGGGAGAAGGAGAATGCAGTCAGTCTTCCCAGCCTGCTCTCCACCAGCACAGTCCTCTCAACCAGGGGCTCAGCCAGAGCAAAGGCAACTTTGTAAAAACAGAAAATACACAGAGGTGGACTATGGGAGAGCTCTGACCTCAACATCTGTATTTCACTTACTGACTTGATGGGACTGGCAGTGTTCCTCCCAAAGTGAGAAAGACAACTTCCCGGACAGAAGAGGGCCGCAGTGGTTCAATTTCATACACAGAAGAGGTTAGGGTGATTATATCTCTTCTCCTCTCTGGTCTCCCATCCAAGTACAAACCAGGACTGACCCTACTTAGCTTCTAAGATCAGCTGAGATCCGTGTAAGGTGGTAAGGGCCTAGACCTCACCCTCTTGGGATCTACTAGGAGAGTCCCTTACAGAAGCCCCAAGATGCCTAGTCAGGGTATAACCCAGTTCAGTTTCTGACAGGGTACGTCTATAAGAAAAAGTAAAAATTCCATCTTTTTTTTTTCTATGCTGCAGAACACTTACTGCTCGTGAAGAAGTCATTGAGTATTAACATACCCATTAGATGAATATGCTTTTAGCCCAAGATGAAAATATCCTGGTAATAATCAAAATTTTATGAAAGTGAGCTGTTTCCCACCGTTAAAAAAAAAAAAAGCCACCAACCAACCTGAGCATTTTGCCATTTTACCAATTAGGAAGCTTGATCTGGCCTTTCAAGAGAAGCCTGCAGGGAAGCAACCTCCTCCTTGGGGATTTAGACAATCGTCATGTGTACTAGCTCTAGCCCAGGGTATCTGCACTCTCGCTTGCTCAGGCACTGTGACGCTGCTTCTGAGTTTCTCTCAGCGGTGGGGAAACTATGGCTGTGGGGCAGAACCCCTGCCTGATTTTCTTTTCTTTTCTTTTTTTTTTTTTTTTTTTTTTTTTTTTTTTTTTGAGACAGGGTTTCTCCGTAGCTTTTGGTTCCTGTCCTGGAACTAGCTCTTGTAGATCAGGCTGGCCTCGAACTCACCGAGATCCGCCTACCTCTGCCTCCTGAGTGCTGGGATTAAAGGCGTGTGCCACCACCGCCCAGCTCCCCTGCCTAATTTTTGTGTGGTCTGTAAGATGGTAACTTTGACTTTTTTTTTAACTTGTTGAAACAAATTCAAAAGACATTAACATTTTAATGCCCACAAGTAAAATTTCACTGGATGTTATATTTTGGCAGCAATTTGAATGAGTACCTAAAAGATTCATGTCCTAGACGCTTGGACCCCAGGGTGGTAGAGCTGAAAGGTGAAACCTTTACGACAGAGGGTCTAGTGAGATAATTAGGTCACTGGGGGCATCATCCTTAGAAGACATTACTGTAGTTCTCATAGGAGCCTGGACTTGTTCTTACAAGAGCAAGCTGTTGTAAGAAGAGCAAACCAGACCCCTGACTCTTTCTTGCCTCCTGTCTCAGCACGTGATCTCTTCTGCACGTCCTCTCATTACTGTGATGTCATACACCATGAGGCCCTCCTGACATGCACAACAAAGACGACCCCAGATCTTGGGCTTTAATCCTCCAAACTGTAAGCTAAGTAACCCTTTTTTTTCCTCATAAATCACCCTGTCTTGGGCATTTTACTCTAACAAACAGATTACCACACCGGGACAGAACCACACTCGTTCATCTACTTACTGTTTGTGGGCATTTGTCTGCTAGAGCCGTGCAGTTGAGGCTGAGTAAATGGTGGAGCCTCCAAAGCCCAAAATATTTACTGTCTGGCTTATAAGAAAAAGTCTGCCATTCTCTTGTCTATCTTAACACTTGGATGATACCTATTTTACATTTAATTTCTAGACGATGCAGACAGCAACACTTAGAAGATTCTCTTTAGATACGTCACGCCCTTTTGAAGTGTGCTGGTCCCGCCCACAGGCTAAGATAAATAAACCATCCACAAACTGCCAGAGCAGAGACTCAAGCCAGGTTTAATGGTCACTGTCTAGTTATAGAGCCTGTTGGCTCCGAGGTTTGCCAGCCTGGTATACACAGTGGGGGAAGAGTCCTAGACAGAGGAGAGAGGAATTACAGAGGCAAGAACACACACAAAACCGGAAAGTTGGCTTTCTCCCCAGATGGGTCTACCCTTTCCTGGCCTCTTCCAGGGGCCCCATACATTCAGTAAAGAAAAAGATCACAGACTGTAGAGCCCTGCGACACCCTGTCTCCTGGGAGACACAGTTTGTGGGTGCACGTGGAGTGAAGGCCAGCCCTTCTTGTATCTACACTTGCCAGCTTTCTTTCCGAGGTCTAATGGGATCATACATGTGGGATACAGATACACATACATACCCCCTACAAGGAGAGAGTGAACGGAAACCACAAGAGACCAGTCAGTTAAATGTCCTGGTGGTGTCCAGACATGTCCTCC